AATGCATTTGATACTCAGGCCTGTGTCTGCATAGAGAACAAACAAATAAACAAAAACTTTGTGCATGGTTTAATATGGAATAACTCAAAACAGCCTTTCATGTCTGCAGGGGTTTCACTAATGTTCTCAGCAGGGTGGCAACTGGTTTAACAAGCAGGTAAAACTACAGTATTTGAACTGAACTTTCTGGTAGATGGCTAAGCCAGCTGGGCAAAATCATCCTCACAGCCGGTCATTTGCCCAGTGCCCAGCCCTTAATGAAAACCCTGTGTCTGGTGTCTTCAATAGCCACTTGGCTACTCGGAAGTGTATAACAAGTCTTATCAGTTCAAAAATACTAGTAATAAAAACAAAACAAATACATGTAGATTCCATAGCTAATCTTCTAGGCCAACCAGTGTACTGTACATGTATGTTGTTGCTCTGTTTGACAAACTAATATGTTAGTTGTACACTATATATGTATTGACCAGACAGGAGGTTCACATCAATTGGGAAATACTGGTCAGATTCTCTAGTGGCAAGTTCATACAACAATTTAAAAACATGTTCTATAAATTTGCACACTAAAGAACAAGACCCAAATGCACATACGTAGTTCAATATGATATGATATGATACAATACCATACAATACATGAATTTATATAGCGCTCATTTCCAGAGCTCAATGGCACTTTATAATGGTTGTAATTAAAATTAAAACCACTTCTACTAAAAATTACAATATCATCATACGAATTAAAACATGAAAAAGTTCCAGTAAAACAAAAATGTAACTAACGGTACCATTAGGGTTTAAAATGATTGAAGATCACAACTGCTACTACTTAAGGATGTTCACGCTAATTGTTTTTGCACATCCTTACTGCGCATGCAAATTCACATGCCACGTCGCAAATCTAGTGCACACTAAAAAAATTAATGAACAATGAGACGGCAGGTGGCCATTGCTATAGCTTTGCCTAGATTTAATGATCTTGGAAGTTCGGTGACCCCTATTTTTCTTTTGATGGATCATTTTCTCTACTGATTTTCTACATTTAGCGAAAAAATGAAGAAAAGCTATTGATTAGAAGTTTGAATTTTTTGTAAAATGTACCATCAAATTCCGTTCTTTTTAGCTCTTCATTTATCTGTGAGGCGGTTTCAAATGCCTTTCGAAGGGTTAAGTTTTGTGAAAACGTTGGCAACATTTGGAATTATTAACACCACAGATTCACTTATACAAAATATTGCTAGGATAGTTTGTCTCCATTGATTCATCTTTGATATTTTAAGCTAAAAACCCTGGAGACCATGCTGATTTACGCGCTCCAATTTTTCAAAATCAGACTAGTTTTCCACACGGTTTATCTCTGAAAGGAAGTCCGTGACTGCCAATTTTTTTTTTTCCATTTCTGAAACAAGTAATTCATTATCTGTCTGCAGTAGAAGTTTGAAGAAAATCTATTGAATAGAACATTTTTGCGTAAACGTCCTTAAAATTACAATTACAAAAACATTATTTAAGTTAAAGATAAAAAAATTCATTAAAACGAAGGCACACCCAACTGCACCAATTTAAACTAACAAGTTAATAAATATTTGCCTCTGTTAAGATTTGGTGGAGGGGTGCTCTAATGCTTAGCACAGTGGATTCCAGATTGAGTGATCTGTGTTTGAGCCTTGGTCGGGGTCACTGAGTTGTATTCTCGGGCAAGACCCTTTACTCTCACAGTGTCTCTCTCCATCCAGGTCAATAAATGAGTACTGGCAAATTGAATGCTGGAGGGTAACCCTTCAATGGACTAGCATCCCTTCTATAGGGGAGTAGAAATGGCTTAATTCTAAAGGAACTGGTATAAACTCTGACTGGGCTGATTCACCTAATTCATATTTTAACTCTTACATGTAAAATGAATCAATAGTGTAAAATTATTAGTAAGACGTCTATTCTCGGCAAATTATACATATACATGTACACCCAGCATGGTCCATACAAACTTTAGACCTTTTCATTTCAAAGATTTTTCAAAGATTTTTCAACAGGCCAACCAGTGTACTGTATGCTCTTGTTCTGTTTGACAAACTAATATGCTAGTTGTACACTATAAACAATGTATGTCTTGCCCAGGCAGGAGGTCCACATTGGGGAAATACTGGTCAGATTTTTCTAGTGGCAAGTTCATATGTCAAGTCAAAAACATGATCTATAAATTTGCACACAAGAACCTAAAATTATGTGCATACATAGTTCAATTTCAACTATAATTTAATGAAAATATTTGTCCCTGTTGAGATTTGGTGGAGGAGGGGTGCTCTAATGCTTAGTGCAGTGGATTCCAGATTTCATGTTTGAGCCTTGGTCAGGGTCACTGAGTTGTGTTCTTGGGCAAGACACTTTACTCTCACAGTGCCTCTCTCCACCCAGGTGCATAAATGGGTACTGGCAAATTGAATGCTGGAGGGTAGCCCTGCAATGAACTAGCATCCCTCCCACAGGGAAGTAGAAATGGCTTAATTCTAAAGGAACTGGTATAAACTCCGACTGGGCTGATTCAGCTAATGCATATTTTATCTCTTACAATTAATCGGTAGTGTAAAATTATTAGTAAGACATCTATTCTCAGGAAATTATACATGTACACACAGCATGGTCCACACAGACTTCCCTCTATCAGATGTGCCTGTAGGAAATCATGGTAGTTGAATGTATTCATCATCTCACAGACTGCATAATAATGTTTTGGTGAATAAAACTACCATGATTCCATGCAGGCAGCACACATCTGATACAGAGGAAGTTGGCATTAGCAAAAGTATTAACCGGATTTGAAAAAAGCTCAAACGCAAAGGGGTGGCCCTGTGAAAAGACAAAAATAGGGGGTCTGTGGACTTCTATGAAGATGATGACATGGGTGAGAAGACTAAAAAGCATCCTTTTTTTACAAAGAAGTCCACAGACATTTAATTTTTTTACCAACTTCACAGCTACTCTTGCACTCTGTGCTCACATCACTCTCACGCTTGAAGAAAAATAATTTGTATTATTACATTGAACTCACTATCTCTTTTCTGATTGGCAAAAAGCGTAAGGTGAATTTTCAGAATCAGCACCTGTGACATCATCTAGCTGCAGATTATGTATGGGTTATTGACCAAGTGTGAGGTCAAGATGGCTGGATATTGGCCAAGTTCTTTTTTTGCGTGTTTATGGAC